AGCTATGATCAATTCTGCTGTAATTTTTCTATATTTTTAAATTTTTTTGTAATTTTTATAATTTTTTATATTCATGTGTACATATATTACAGATTATATGTTTAATTTTTTTTTATACTAGATATTATTATCATAATTGTAGATTTAATGCACGTTCGTATTTTGAACGAGTACTTGTGCTCTTAGACGATAACGTGGTTAAATAAATTATTATTACTGTTATTGTTGTTGTTATTGGTAGCAGTCATCCTCAATGTTTTTGTTTCACCATTTCAGCTACGACAAACTCTTGTTCCAATGCTTAAAGGCCAGACGCACCTGATTGAAGAACTTTACTCATTTTTTGAAGACACAAAGCCCCCTGTGTGGTGAGATAACATAATTAAAATTAACAAATAAATGCAGCAAGAATAATTAAATATATAAATAAATAAATAAACAGTACGATCCACTCATATCCATTTGGTACGGAAAATAATCAATTCTTCATAAAACGACTTTATCGTGTTCTGTTTGTTTTTCAAGTTCTGATGATGATTTCGAGGAATTTGAGTTTGGAAGTGGCAGCGAACCAGAGGTATGGTATTAAACATGTTCTGTTAAACTTCTCCCAGATACGCAATGTTGAGGAATAAGGTTTCAAAAGGTTTAAAAACAGGACACTTTATAGCGCCATTGTTCTCTTTTTTAAACGTAAAGCATTAGATTTAAACACGTATTCAGCAAAAATATATTCTTAACTTAACAAATTCTGCGTGTTGGGTTATTTTGCCTGTGGCCGTAATTAACCTTTAAAGAATTTCGGTCAAGGAGGGAGGGTTTTAAAGCCACTTAATATATTCATCAAAACAAACAAACACACAAACAAAAATAAGAGATAGAACTTTAAGTCGTAGTTTAAGGTTAGTCTAACTTCTTGTGATGATTTTTGAAGGTGGACGATTTTGAAGAAGTGGAAATACCATGTCTGGTGGAGCCGAAGAAAATGAAAGGTCGCCCTCCTAAAGAAACTCAGAAAAACAAGACAAGGAAAAACAAAAAACCTTCTGGGATAGCTAAAGGTTCAAAACAACAGGGAAATGCAAGCAAACCGGCAGGAAATAAAACTAAAACAAAAACTAACCTCACTAAGGGAGGCAAGCAATATACTCTCCTTGGGGGATCCGTCGGAGAAAATGAGGGGGGAAATCTGAAACACCCCCCTAGTATTCCAACAAATGGAGAAGTTACAGGGGGGAAAAGTGGATTGGACGATCAAAGAAATGAGGTTCACCCTCAAGAAGGACCTTTGTCATCAGCAGCAACCTCGCTGCAATCAGAAACTAGTAATGACAGTTATCACGGAGAGGAACTAAACCCGGCATCTGGGGACACTTTAAGCCCTGAACATGAAGAACGCGAGGTGAGGAACTACGAAAGCGAGGAACAAGAGTATGATGGGAATTCCGACGTGGAGCATGATGGGTATGAAGAGGATGAAGATGACGATTTTCTGGATGGTGAACATGCTGTTTATAATAATGACTTTACAAGTGGTGACGTAGTTGGTGACGTCAGAAGTGATGCTGCCGCAAGTGATTGTGGTAGTGGCGACGTTGATATGGCCTCTTCGGGTGTTGTGCCAGCTAAAAACCTTCAACGAAGTGAAGACGGACAGGTGGTTCTACTATGGACCAGGTAAGCCTATTTAAGAGAGGCCGGTGTACTCGAAAGAGCGCCCCCTGCTGCACCTAGGAGCTAGGATAATAATCTGTTTCGGTATTTAATAATGTTGGATTAGCCCTTCTGGTGTGAAACGTTTGGGCCCGTCCACATTAATTACAAACAACCCAGCAGTACCGGGGCAAATCTTCTCAAACGTTTACGTGTGTACCTTAGAAGTGTAATTTATTACATTTGTACAAGATTGTTGGAGTTGGTGAGATAAACCTCTAGACCCGAAAGTGGGTGGGTGGTAGGCAGGGTAAACTAAAATTACATTACAAGATGTCTTGAACTTTTGCTTCAATCGCTTATTGAAACTAAATGAATGGCCTTTGCCGCGTTTTAGGCGGTATATATAGCCCTACGTTAACTACAAACTAGAATATGATATGGCCAACTGATAACTATAATCCTACGCGCGTCAAATCAAACATTTTAAACGAAGCTCAAAATCAATCAGTGATGCACCACTCTGGGTTGTTTACATTTAAATAGGACACTGAGCTTGTCCCAGGCTAGATTGAATTCTTTTCCTATCTCATTATTATGTCGAGGGAAATAATAATAAATTTGATTTTACTTTAATGGCTAAGAATGTTATTATTCTTTTTTGTTATTAAGGGAGGACGACCGGACGATTTTACAAACTTGTCAACAGATGGGTGCTAAGTCAGAAACGTTCCAACACATAGCAGACAGTGTGAAAAATAAAACTGCAGCCGAGGTAAGCGCATTAAGACGGCATATCACAGCTGTCATAATGGTCTAATCCGCTGACCTGTATTGTATGGCCGTTTTGTGGACTCAGGAACCACACTCATCATGGCACGTATTTCTTTAGTAATCCACTGGCCTGTTAGTAATTTTTCATTCAAAGAAGACTCTTGGTATTTATCAGGTGCTCCGCTTTTAGGCTGACTGAATCCATACATTAGTTTACCACTTAAGAAAAATGTAAATGACTAAAATGCCATGAAATCATCTCTGATTCTCATTTCGCCCTTGTCTGCTTTTTCGATTTGTCAACGTTCACTCAGTGGTTTTGCCGTGTTTTTTTGTACTCCTTTCCGGTACTTTTTTTTTCTTTCAGCTCTTAGGGGCCTTCTTTTGTTGAATCAATTATATCTTTTATATTTTTTCTTTCAGGTCCAAAAACGTTTCATGGATCTACTGAACCTTTTTAAGGCTAGTAGTGGCGATCGAACAAGGGAATCCACAAACGAAGATTCTTGCAGTGAGGATGAAGCCGAAGACGAAGAAGACAGTGAAACAATTGGCGAATCAGACGGTGAACAGGCCCACGACGCCTAGCCCAACTTCGATGATGTAGACATCATTGTTAATCTGCTTCAGCTGGTATCCATCAGTGAACAAACTAAAAAAGACTACAACTGTTGATATTGAGCGAAATCAAGATAACAAAGGATAAAGCGTTGGATATTCTGAAAATATAACAACTATCATGCTCGTTAACAGCAGAAGCAGTTCGGGTGCAAATTTATACGTACAGATATTTAGACAGCATTTGGCAGGTAATAAATTCAATCGTTCGAACTCAGTAACAGAAAATGCCAATCACTGTTTAGTGCTAATGCACGTAGCATAAAATACCAAAACACCTCAGTTGGTTGAAATTAGACTTCGTTTAAGATAACAAATACTCCACAGAGTCAATTGTAAACAAAGTGTTTTGTTAGAAGGGAAAAGACCGCAATACCAAAGTGTGTTAATGTTCGATATACATCGTACTATTGCTGATAATCAAGATGGGATTTATAGAACATAACCAAGTTGCATTCTGAAGACCATCAAGAATGTATAGAATTCCATACGCGTGTACTGCGCGATATCTTTCATTGAATGGTCATAGGACGTCAATCAAACTTCTCATTAGTAGACCCCTACTCTTGGGACCAGAAATGGTGTCCTCTCACGGGAGATGTTAGTCACAGAAAGTAAGGTTCGTTGTTATAGCAACGAAATTTCATAGGTAGACTGAAGAGAGCGAGACCTGTCTAAAATACATTTCCATCTCTTTTCGAGGCGATCACTGGTTGAAATTTGTTGAAAATAAATTAATCTAAGGAAAAATAGTTATTAATAAAAGCGAATGTTGGTGGTGGTGAATGGTGATTGTCGTCCCCAGAGCCGCAGGAGCCTGGGCACGATTTCTTTAGCGGAGTCACGACAACAGCTGTCGTAAATTACTGTGCCTCCCCTCCCCCGCAAACCAGACCCATAGGAGATGGTGTCGTCACAAAGGGTGTAGACTTCCTATTCTCTTTTCAAAGATGAGTGAGCAATCTTGTTTGTTCTCTTCGAATTGTTAAGGTATTAAAATGAAGGAGAGAAGAATAATGGCAGCCAGTGACAAAATGACGCAATCATCACAACCAGCAAGGTCTTGGGCGAGTTCTTTGAGTTCTAAACTAACGCGGAAACGCTTGCTATGCAGGCCAATCAGTTTTTGAAAGGCTTTCGAGGTATAAATCAACCTTTCTCCATATACGGTTTAGTCCTCCGTTTTGCGCGCGTGGGCTACCTTTCTCCCCCGGATATCGATCCATAATAGCACAACAAAGTTGGCAAGATCCCCATATTCATGATGTGGTATCGAGTAACAAGCAGAAACAACTGTCATAATACAACAAACCCATCATTGTTATTGTGCAGCGTAATGAATTGTAATCACTACAAACGATGTCTTCTCAAGAGAAAAGTTTGCCTTCCTTTGCTTCGATTATTTCTGTTTTGGCGATTGTTCTTTACGGAGCCGGTTTTCTGAGAGTAGAATTTGAGCTGAACGAACAAAGGAAGAGAATATATGCTCTTGAAAACATTGAGGAGACTAAGCCGTCCGATGCTCCAAACATCAACAAAATAGTGAGGAATGCTGGCGGTAAGTTTGTATTTAATATGGTTTAATAGTTTACAGAAAACACCTCAAACAGAATTTGCTATTCTAGTAGTTTTTTCTTTCCTTTTTTTCTTTTTTTTTTTTCTGAAAAGCAAATATTGTGAGTCCAGAAAATTTTCATATAGATATCTTGTCTTTGCGTGCTCATCGCGTGGCGTCGAGACAAACGAAACGACGTCCGAAGGTGACCAGGTCAGGGAAATAGCATTAAAACATGTTTTTTTTTTTAAGGAAAGATTAAAAAAAAAATCGATCCTATAATGAACTTTGTTTCTCAACAGTAAATGTTGGCTACTTAGTGAATTGCCTTGTTGTGCTCCAGCACAGCTGAAATTGAAAAACGAACACGGAAATGATATTTTTGATGGGGAGGGGTTTCTTTTGCAGCAGAGCCACAACGTGCTACAGGCGGCTGTATTGATCAAGGAAGAAGGACCAAAAACGCGCGTGCGAACTTTCCTTACTTCGCTCTTATCTAATCAGATCCTTGGAAGGACTTTAATACCCGGGAGAGATTTTAAACAATTCTTACGCAACGTTTTGGAGGGTAAACAAGGTGTATTGACACTAGTGTGGGTATATGACACAATTACTTAGCACTCTATTTATCGGAGAAGAACAAACGTTTTTCCTATTTGACGAACAGGATGATTGACCCTGTCAATCAGGAGGATAGCGTTTAGTCGTTGTATTTTCGCTTTGTCAGATCTTGAAGGCTTAGATAGTGTAAATTATGGAGGGTAAAAAGTGTGATCATTGAGGCGGGCAAGAGGGCTACCCTCCCCCCCCCCCCACCCCCCTTTTCCTTGCCTACCAATAATCCAAGTTAACTCTAGTAAGTCTCANGGACAGCTGAAATTGAAAAACGAACACGGAAATGATATTTTTGATGGGGAGGGGTTTCTTTTGCAGCAGAGCTACAACGTGCTACAGGCGGTTGTATTGATCATGGAAGAAGGACCAAAAACGCGCGTGCGAACTTTCCTTACTTCGTTCTTATCTAATCAGATCCTTGGAACGACTTTAATGCCCGGGAGAGATTTTAAACAATTGTTACACAACGTTTTGGAGGGTAAACAAGGTGTATTGACACTAGTGTGGGTATATGGCACAATTACTTAGCACTCTATTTATCGGAGAAGAACAAACGTTTTTCCTATTTGACGAACAAGATGATTGACCCTGTCAATCAGGAGGATAGCGTTTAGTCGTTGTATTTTCGCTTTGTCAGACCTTGAAGGCTTAGATAGTGTAAATTATGGAGGGTAAAAAGTGTGATCATTGAGGCGGGCAAAAGGCTACCCTCCACCCCCTTTTTCCTTGCCTACCAATAATCCAAGTTAACTCAAGTAAGTCTCATAAAAACCAGGTAGACAGGGTCCTCTGACCTGATTTTTAGCACTTACACGAGAAATGTTCTTTGTAGAATCTAAATATTTCAAGCTTACTAGGAACAGACGCGTAGCCGATGCATTGAAAAACACCACAGGAGCTAGAAACACGATAGACATGGAAACGGTTCTGAAAATCAGCAAACTGTTTTCTGAGTTGAAACCTCAACTCTGTCATTCAAATGGCGTCACATGTCCCCCAGGCCCTCCCGGTCTACCTGGACCAAAGGGAGACAAAGGATCTCGTGGACGAAGAGGACAGAAAGGACGAACAGGAAACAGAGGAGATCAAGGCATTGTGGGATCGCCTGGAATGAGCGGAAAGCAAGGCATCATGGGACCTGTAGGTCCGAAGGGTGACGTTGGACTCAAGGGACAAAAAGGAGACATAGGACCTGCAGGCACGCCGGGAGCTAAAGGAGAACCTGGTGAATCAATTTCAGCTCCTTTAATTGCTGTGTCCCCTAAAACGCTGACAGTTAACGAAGGTGGTTCAGCTTCGTTTCAGTGTTCAGTGAGTGGTAACCCTAAACCTGCAATCAAATGGAGAAAATGGAACAGTCAGTCACAAATAAGCCGGCCATTGGCTTCAGAAGGAAAGCTGCTTCTTAAGAATGTCCGAGGAAGTGATTCGGGTACATATAACTGTTCAGCGGTCAACATTTTAGGACGAGCCCAGGGACTGGTACAGCTGATAGTAAATGGTAAAGTAAATGCCAAGACCTTTATGAAATAAAGAAAAGAATAAATCAGAGTAATAAACCAATTTTGAAGACCCTGCTGTCCTTACATTTTGCTTGCGATAAATTATTTCAAAACAAAGCAAAACTAAATATCATTGTTACATTGTTGTTGTGTTCCTCTCAGTGCTATGTCTTTCTCATCTCAGTCCGCTGTGTCGTAAAATCTAGCCTTAAAATCCTAAAATCCACTAATAAATAAAACCAAAGCAAAACACTCAAAATATTCTATCTGATCCAGTTCACCCTCGAGTTTCCCTTCATCCCGGACCTCATCACGCTATTGAAGGAAGTAGTTATACTCTCCCATCCTGTCACGTGACTGGGTATCCTGCACCAGTTGTCTCATGGAGAAAGTCATCCGGTCCATTACCCCAGGGAAGAGTGAAGTACAACAACAGTGCATTACAAATTCTACATGTTCGTAAAGATGACTCTGACCTTTACTACTGTGCGGCATCAAATCTGTTGGGACGCGTCGAAAAGAAAACCTTCTTAGTTGTTGTCTCCCCTCCTCGTTTTTCTGTGAAACCACCCGCTAAAGTTGTCGCGTGGGTTGGTGACAGTTTAAAGTTAAACTGCAGCGCTACTGGTGATCCACAACCAGTCATCAGCTGGAAGAAACAGGGAGGTCAACTTCCCTTTGGGCGGAGTCAACAGATTAATGGCAATTTGGTGATAAGAGACATATCAAGGAACGATAGAGGAAATTACATTTGTATAGCAACGAATGCAGGAGTGTTTAAGGCTGAGACTGGCACCTACGCTGAAGTTAAAGGTGCGATTTTATGAAGACATTTGTAGAAGGCCTAAATGTAATAAACGACCCTAAATGTAATAAAGTCCTAAATGCAATAACTTTTTGCGCTAAATGTAATAAACTCTTAAGAGTGATAACATTAGGCCTTATTAAGAGGCCCTGACTGTAAATATCGAGAGTCCGCCGACAGTTGCAAAATTTCATGATTTATTTTATTCGACCTAAAAGCACTTTTTTGGTAAACTATTTTCAAAAATGGAAATAAAAAGTTCCATCGCACCTTGCTTTTTGCAAAATGTAAGCTTCATGTAATTTTGTTATGTTTAAGGCAACATAAAGACCCGCTGAAATAACTCACTTTCAATCTTTTTGGTTGAGGGGAAATAAAGGTCAACTTTAAAAACCTATAAAAATCCTAGTATCTAAATTTACGTGTCATATTGTACAGCAGGTGAAAGCTCGAACTGTCATTGCTGGCCCAAAAAAATTGCATAATAAAGCAGGCAGCCGTGACACAGCCCCTTTACTATGACTTGTTACTTACGTCATTGATGTCGTTAAAACATTTAAGGCCTAATGTTATCAGTCTTAAGAGTTTATTACATTTAGGGCAAAAAGTATCTACATTGAGGACTTTATTACATTTAGGGCAAAATGTCATTACATTTAGGCCTTCTACAACATTTAGAATATAAACGTTTTAGAAGAGAGGTAAACGTAAATTTGATCCATTTTTTGCCCTCGGGCTATAGAGGGGCAGGGCGTGGGGGCAGGGGGAGAGCAACATACCTTTTTGTTTCAGAGGTATTTCACTTTAGTAATTGTTTATTGTTTGGACATATTTATTCTTTTTTTTTTTTCTGAAAAGCAAATATTGTGAGTCCAGAAAATTTTCATATAGATATCTTGTCTTTGCGTGCTCATCGCGTGGCGTCGAGACAAACGAAACCACCGAAGGTGACCAGGTCAGGGAAATAGCATTAAAATGATTAAAACATGTTTTTTTTTTTAAGGAAAGATTAAAAAAATAATCGATCCTATAATGAACTTTGTTTCTCAACAGTAAATGTTGGCTACTTAGTGAATTGCCTTGTTGTGCTCAAGGACAGCTGAAATTGAAAAACGAACACGGAAATGATATTTTTGATGGGGAGGGGTTTCTTTTGCAGCAGAGCTACAACGTGCTACAGGCGGTTGTATTGATCATGGAAGAAGGACCAAAAACGCGCGTGCGAACTTTCCTTACTTCGTTCTTATCTAATCAGATCCTTGGAACGACTTTAATGCCCGGGAGAGATTTTAAACAATTGTTACACAACGTTTTGGAGGGTAAACAAGGTGTATTGACACTAGTGTGGGTATATGGCACAATTACTTAGCACTCTATTTATCGGAGAAGAACAAACGTTTTTCCTATTTGACGAACAAGATGATTGACCCTGTCAATCAGGAGGATAGCGTTTAGTCGTTGTATTTTCGCTTTGTCAGACCTTGAAGGCTTAGATAGTGTAAATTATGGAGGGTAAAAAGTGTGATCATTGAGGCGGGCAAAAGGCTACCCTCCACCCCCTTTTTCCTTGCCTACCAATAATCCAAGTTAACTCAAGTAAGTCTCATAAAAACCAGGTAGACAGGGTCCTCTGACCTGATTTTTAGCACTTACACGAGAAATGTTCTTTGTAGAATCTAAATATTTCAAGCTTACTAGGAACAGACGCGTAGCCGATGCATTGAAAAACACCACAGGAGCTAGAAACACGATAGACATGGAAACGGTTCTGAAAATCAGCAAACTGTTTTCTGAGTTGAAACCTCAACTCTGTCATTCAAATGGCGTCACATGTCCCCCAGGCCCTCCCGGTCTACCTGGACCAAAGGGAGACAAAGGATCTCGTGGACGAAGAGGACAGAAAGGACGAACAGGAAACAGAGGAGATCAAGGCATTGTGGGATCGCCTGGAATGAGCGGAAAGCAAGGCATCATGGGACCTGTAGGTCCGAAGGGTGACGTTGGACTCAAGGGACAAAAAGGAGACATAGGACCTGCAGGCACGCCGGGAGCTAAAGGAGAACCTGGTGAATCAATTTCAGCTCCTTTAATTGCTGTGTCCCCTAAAACGCTGACAGTTAACGAAGGTGGTTCAGCTTCGTTTCAGTGTTCAGTGAGTGGTAACCCTAAACCTGCAATCAAATGGAGAAAATGGAACAGTCAGTCACAAATAAGCCGGCCATTGGCTTCAGAAGGAAAGCTGCTTCTTAAGAATGTCCGAGGAAGTGATTCGGGTACATATAACTGTTCAGCGGTCAACATTTTAGGACGAGCCCAGGGACTGGTACAGCTGATAGTAAATGGTAAAGTAAATGCCAAGACCTTTATGAAATAAAGAAAAGAATAAATCAGAGTAATAAACCAATTTTGAAGACCCTGCTGTCCTTACATTTTGCTTGCGATAAATTATTTCAAAACAAAGCAAAATTAAATATCATTGTTATATTGTTGTTGTGTTCCTCTCAGTGCTATGTCTTTCTCATCTCAGTTCGCTGTGTCGTAAAATCTAGCCTTAAAATCCTAAAATCCACTAATAAATAAAACCAAAGCAAAACACTCAAAATATTCTATCTGTTCCAGTTCACCCTCGAGTTTCCCTTCATCCCGGACCTCATCACGCTATTGAAGGAAGTAGTTATACTCTCCCATCCTGTCACGTGACTGGGTATCCTGCACCAGTTGTCTCATGGAGAAAGTCATCCGGTCCATTACCCCAGGGAAGAGTGAAGTACAACAACAGTGCATTACAAATTCTACATGTTCGTAAAGATGACTCTGACCTTTACCACTGTGCGGCATCAAATCTGTTGGGACGCGTTGAAAAGAAAACCTTCTTAGTTGTTGTCTCACCTCCTCGTTTTTCTGTGAAACCACCCGCTAAAGTTGTCGCGTGGGTTGGTGACAGTTTAAAGTTAAACTGCAGCGCTACTGGTGATCCACAACCAGTCATCAGCTGGAAGAAACAGGGAGGTCAACTTCCCTTTGGGCGGAGTCAACAGATTAATGGCAATTTGGTGATAAGAGACATATCAAGGAACGATAGAGGAAATTACATTTGTATAGCAACGAATGCAGGAGTGTTTAAGGCTGAGACTGGCACCTACGCTGAAGTTAAAGGTGCGATTTTATGAAGACATTTGTAGAAGGCCTAAATGTAATAAACGACCCTAAATGTAATAAAGTCCTAAATGCAATAACTTTTTGCGCTAAATGTAATAAACTCTTAAGAGTGATAACATTAGGCCTTATTAAGAGGCCCTGACTGTAAATATCGAGAGTCCGCCGACAGTTGCAAAATTTCATGATTTATTTTATTCGACCTAAAAGCACTTTTTTGGTAAACTATTTTCAAAAATGGAAATAAAAAGTTCCATCGCACCTTGCTTTTTGCAAAATGTAAGCTTCATGTAATTTTGTTATGTTTAAGGCAACATAAAGACCCGCTGAAATAACTCACTTTCAATCTTTTTGGTTGAGGGGAAATAAAGGTCAACTTTAAAGGCCTATAAAAATCCTAGTATCTAAATTTACGTGTCATGTTGTACAGCAGGTGAAAGCTCCAACTGTCGTTGCTGGCCCAAAAAAATGGCATAATAAAGCAGGCAGCCGTGACACAGCCCCTTTACTATGACTTGTTACTTACGTCATTGATGTCGTTAAAACATTTAAGGCCTGATGTTATCAGTCTTAAAAGTTTATTACATTTAGGGCAAAAAGTATCTACATTGAGGACTTTATTACATTTAGGGCAAAATGTCATTACATTTAGGCCTTCTACAACATTTAGAATATAAACGTTTTAGAAGAGAGGTAAACGTAAATTTGATCCATTTTTTGCCCTCGGGCTATAGAGGGGCAGGGCGTGGGGGCAGGGGGAGAGCAACATACCTTTTTGTTTCAGAGGTATTTCACTTTAGTAATTGTTTATTGTTTGGACATATTTACAGTCAAACCAAGTCAAGCGTACCCCCCAAGATTCTATCAGTGAATTGATTATTTGAAAAATGAATCCGTTAGTCATTCCCGTAACTGGTGTCAAATTCAAAGCGGCATTTCTGCATGCGTAATGAGCAGTGAATATTTTACGAGAACTTCTCTGTATTTGGTCAGATTGGAAATCTTTGAATGGATTAACTTCTTAGAAGACATTTACATCAATTTCAGGAAAATGGAGCTGGTAGAAATTTCATAACTGCCTCGCGTGTGAATTCACGGCTCATTACACATACAAGAATGCAGAGATCAATCTGAAATCTACAACTAGCAACGGATTCAACTTTTGAATAATAAATTCATTAATAGATTCTTGGGGGGTACGCTTGACCTGGTTTGACTGTAAGTTTAAGGAAGCCAGACGATTGCTATGGTTACCAGATATACGGTTTTATATGAAGTGAGGTCAATTGATTGTCAGAGTGAGTGTGCGATTTGTTCGCACTTTTTCCTGCTAAAAATAGTTTCAGAATTCTTAGGTGTTCAGATATCACACTAAAATCGCCACTATGTTTTAAGATGTTTTAGTTTTCCAACAGCGTCCTATGCCATAATATGTACAACAACTTGTAGAACTCATATTGTGGTTATTTGCAGAAATATCTTAAACAATATGTAATATGTTAAAAAGTTACTCTATGTGAAAATACGGAGTATATTTTAGAGTTGGGTGGCTTTTAATGGAGGACGGCAAGGAATTGGTGGACTGGGTCTAGAATAAAGTTCTAAAGCCGTGTAAATGAACAGTTTTTATTTTAAGCTTGATTAAGCACTCCTGCTCTTTTTTGTAGTAACATAATTATCATAGCGTCTCTTTTGTTTTGTGTTATCTTTTAAAGAACTTATCTCGTTATCCACTATTCTTGGCGGCCTTGAGGGCAAGTACCTCGTTAAGCTGAGTTCATATTTAGACCCAGTCCTTCGGAGTTCAGGTCGCAGCAGGTTTGTGAGGTGTTGGCACGGTAAGACAGATGGTTGGGCGTCATCAACATTCCACAGTAACTGTGATGGAAAGGGTCCCACTGTAACCATCGTCCAAGTCGGTAGTTACATATTTGGTGGATACACTGACAAGTCTTGGGGTGGTATGTATCATTTCAGAACACAGCCTTAATAGCGCAAAGATGTTAGCGTTTTCATGTGGACTGGAAAAACGATTCAAATTCGCTGGGTGTGGACGCACATTTTTATTTTATTCTTCTTTTTTTTGGAAACACCGAGATAAATTTCTCTGCTTTCAAAAATATCCGGATACCGTGTGGACTGGGCCTAAAACCAAAAAAGAGACACAAAAACGCCTTTTATGTGTGAACGGAAGGCAGAAACGTAGAAAAAAATATTATATCCGGGTACGTGTGGATAAAGCCTCCTAAGTATTTTAAAGCATAAGTCACAGACACCGCTAGCATACAAGTAAGCCGCATGGGCTGTATTATTTCGAATTTTTTCTCCTGGGATTATTCTGTTTGTCTCTTAAAAGTTTTCTGACAAACGGTTTGAAAGTATTGAAATGCTTTCACACCAAGCAATTTGTGAAAAGTTGTAATGTCGATGTAACAGATTGTTATTAAATGGATTTAAATAAAATAACTAACTAGTTGAGTAAATGAATACCAAAGCGAACATGCCTGAAATTTCATTTTTTTTCTACAAGAGTTTACTAGTAGCTTTATAATGTACAGGACAGTACTTTTTGAAAACTTGACTTATTTTAGGTGAGGACTGGTGTATTACCTCGCTTTGTTAATCGTTATAGCATATTCTATCAAAAAGGTTCCAAAGCGAAAAACATCCAGCTTCGAACACATATTTATAGCTGCCATTGTCACTCTTGCTACTTATTAAAATGTTTTGAATAATTTAAATGAATGTTTAAAATATGTTTTTCCACAGGTTCTTGTCGTTATGTCTATTCAAGTAAATCGTTCCTTTTCTCGCTATATAACATCAATGGCTACGTTCCTGTTAAGGTGAACATCAAGTCAAGTCGCTACAGTAAAGCTATTTACGCATGTTCTAGATACGGACCAACCTTTGGTGGAGGACACGACCTGCACATATCGGGCAACGCTGCAAGCAATCGCTATCCCTACACCAACTGTGGCGGCTCCTACCCCCTCCCCCCTGGGTACTCTGCGTCTCATTCTTCCTGTAGATTTTATGCAGGTGGATCCAGTATGCACTTCACTCCCACTGATGTTGAAGTGTTTTACGAGACAACAACTTAAATCCTGTAAAGGTAGATCACGTCTGCCAATCCAAGCAGTATAAATACATATATGAACGCAGTTTCGTAGACTCCCAAAGGAAAGTGTTTTAAATGGAGGTTTTCGTTTCAATTAAGTAACAACAAATTCTTTTAATAAAAACTGTTAAAAAAATTATTTTAAAATCAATTCGGAGATCGATCAGGAGCCAGTAAAGATTCACAAGAAGCTGTTTCCTGCGCATGTTGGAGCTTTTATCATGCGCTTTTAGGCAAACCATTATATAGCAACGAATTACAGTATTCAAGCTTAAGAATGTTTAGCATATGGTTGCAATTTTAGTCCACTGGGTTAAGTTAAAGCTGTCCAGATCAAGGTACTGGCGTATTTAGAGAAATTGTTTGACTCTTACTATATTATGGGTAAGGTACCTTACTTGCCTTATATTTTTTTATACGCATAACGTGTACAAATAACTGGCTGTTGTTTGCTTCATGCACAGTAGATTCCCTGAACGTCAGCTTTTCAGTACCCAGCTTTTTTTAATGCATAACATTAAATGCTCTTAGATGCTACAATAATTTCTACCTTTATCCGAAGTCGTAATCTACCTTTCTATTAGAAATTGCCTTGGGAATGGTGCATATGCAGAGATCTAAAAATAAAATGAAAATGAAATGAATCAAATAAGTAAGGATGACATTGCACATCGGACCTTGACCAGGATGCCTCAACCCAAAACATCTAAAATTCCAAATGTTTTGTAATCGCATGTTTTCACTGATCAGTTGTTTATTTTAAGATCGATTTTCTCTGGAATTCAGACTTTTGTGCACACCCCAAAAACCTATGAAGGAATGGCGCTGACTACATATATTTGTGGTTTAGTACCAGTGAGTACGGGAATTGGAAGCTCGTTTTAAAAGTTAACTTCCAAAAAGCATTTTAAGCAGGTTACTAACATCAAAAGCATGAAAACATAGTCACTTAATTTAATTCCCTCGGTTTTGGTTTCACGTATGCGCCTTACTTAATTGACACAAACCTTTTTTTAAGCACATAGATGGTACACGAGGAGACTACGTCGTCAGACGTTGCTAACCAGTTAGCTAAGAAAACTCGTGGAAAGTTTGTAGTTAATCTGGTTTAGCATTGATACCGAAAAAAGTGCTACACAATGCCTGTTTTTTTTTTTCGATTCTTCAGAAACAAATTTTGTAAGTCCAGAAAATTTTGCGTATAGATATATTATGTTTACGGTTTGTGGCGCAGAGTAAAACAAAACCGAAGATGAACATGCAAAAATCTTGCTTTGGGAACAGGAAGTTTATTCAAGTATTATTTTTCCTTGACATACAATAAACCACTGGATATATCTAATCAGGGGTTCATGTTGATACACTCAACTAGGGTCTATATCAAAGATAAAAAAAAGAACAAATAAGTTACAAACAACTTAAACAAAAAACAATCAGAAACTACCTATGGAGTAGGCGGAAAAGAAAGTTAAATTCAAATATAACTAGTTTGTGTACAGAAGTCCCCTTCCCCTCAGAAAAAAGGGGAAGGGGTCGTCTGTACGTAGGCTAAATGTAACTAGAAAAGCTTAATCTTGCTTGCTTGCTTGCTTGCTTTAATACTCAAGTGCGCTGAAATTCTAAAGCCTTGTAGTCTAATAATATCAAAACTTAAGCGCTATAGTCAGTACATGCTTGCGTGGTGTATTACAATTCGTTCTCTGTAGTCTTGTGACTCCCGTACAATGTATGTTGCTCAATTCTGAAATAGGCCCACCCCACTAAAGTAAATTTTAAAACTGCTGACTTTTAGCCCAGACCTCTCCGGCGTTATTAGTGTCTAGATATATATTAATGAGATTAATATTCACTAAAAAATTAAAAAAAAATCGACCACATAATGATCTTTTTTTTCTGATGAGTGCATGATGGTTACTCCAGAGTAAACTGCCTTATTGTGCTTAAGTGGCTGAAATTAAAACGAACATAGTCAGAAGATGGGGGGTCTGTTTGCAGCTTTAGACCGCTGTATCAGTCAAGCAGATAGGATCAAAATTGCGCAGACGAATTATTAGTACTGCCTGTAGTCGCTTTGCCTGATTTTTAAGGCAGCGACCCGGACTGACAGATGAGGGAGGGGGAAATTGTTTGATCACAGAGAGAGAGTGGCTTTTCCCATCCTTCTGCATTAAGTATTCTAAGTTAATTCCTGTGCTCTTGTACCCCGAGTAAACGCCTGCAGCACATGCAGGACAGGTTGTCTATCACAGTGAAGGCTTTCAACATGACAAATATAATAATCATCTTTCTCCTGGCAAACACCTCGCTATTACGAACGCCACGCTGAAAAGAAAATCAACTGAATCCGCGACAAGTGTTTCACTCGTTTTTGACTGTATAAAGCTCTCGCACTGTGGTCATTGCAAACATATATACTTTTATCTTTTTAAACTTTATTTATATAATCCATTGACGCCCGGCACTTTTTACGTATTCGGACGAGTGATTTTCTTCATACCAAAAAGCCATAGGATTTTCGCAAGGATGTTTGTGACTCCATATTTGGACTTTATGATACCATGGAAAGTAGTGCTGTTCTAACCCACTGAAGGCTCGAGTTAAAACATAAGTCAAAGCACTGTGACGCAATGGAAAGCTTTCCGATTAGCCGGCGATGCAAAGTGAACCAAAGTCTGGTTACGGATTCGACCTGTCATCGGACAACTGACGCTGCAAGCAAAAGCGATTCAAACACCTGAGGAGTTGTGCCAGGCAGCTCCTAACCCCTCACCCCTGGGTACTCTGTATCTTTCTTTCCTATAGCATGTTTAGGTTTTTATGGGAATATCCGAATCAACATCACTCGCACTGATGACCAAGTGTTTTAGATGACAAGAAATTAATACCTGTACATAACATCTGCCTGTTCAAGCACTTTCAAAGGACAAGCCCCTATCACGTTTTTGTTGTTGACTTTTCATAGATTTTGCCTTTTTGAATCCCGTCCCATTTATAGCTACCCCTAAGTCCCCAAGGGCATTAGTACTTCATGCGGGTATTTTGGCATAACTTCTTCTAGTCATTTAGTAATCATTTCTTTGCTCTACAGCTGATCAACAATTAACAATAGTAATAATAATAATAATAACAATACTACTAATACTACTACTAATAATAAAAGTAAATTATAATTATCATAAAAATTATCCCAGAATCCTTTGAGGCAATTTTTTTGAAAGCTTTATAACTTTGACAACTTTATACGTAGAAGAAGGTCAGACCACAACAAGATAGCATTTGCCATAAAATATCTTCTCATGTCACATCTAGGGTGATCACGTCATCAGTCACCTGACCATTGCTGAATTAGGTTTTTTTTCTGTGACAAGATTTTATCATTGGGTTAAAATATAATAGCATATTTGAGGTTTTGGTTGTGTGGAGCATTTAAAAATAACCAGTTTACGTCCGGAATTTAAAATTAAAGGGGGCAATAGACATGAGCGAAAAAGTCCGGAAACTAGGCCGAAGGCTGTAGAGAGCTGACGTTTCAACAACGGCAGAGAAAATTTGCAGGAAAGTAATGTTCTACCTGGTAATTTTGTTCGTCACCAAAAGAGGGACATTACGTCATAAGTCATGTGATCAGAGCGTTTTGAATATTTTAGTTCGTTTTTGAAGTACATTTTCCGCCATAAATCTGCAAGTTTTTGTTGTTTTTCTCTACAAATCTTTACACTGTATTACCCCTGAGTAATTATTATTCTATTTTCAAAGCAGAAGCAAACGAAAACTGAGCCAGAAGTTTAAAAGTTGCGTAAATCGACCGATATTGCAAACTAAAATCGAAAAGGAGACCTACTTATGAGACTTTTGTAAAATCCTTTTTCAACTCAACTGTTTGTTTGCCGAATTAAATCTTCAACGTTTGTTAATGAAGGAGAACTTTGAAAGGTAAGAGGTTGTATTTGGCAGCCATATTGTTGTTCTTCATTCTGGAGAGAGAGATCATGTAGCAGTTCTTCTAACGCTAAAAGCCAAATGGTCTGCTTCCCTAACCTAAAACAATGGAAATAATTATAAACAATGTTGTGTTAACGTTTTCCTCGACCGATGAAAAGACACCTTACTAGCAGGGAGAGAATCGTACGGTCATACTGTTCAGTCGGTTGGAGCTGGTAGAAATTTCATAACTGCCTCGCGTGTGAATTCACGGCTCATTACACATACAAGAATGCAGAGATCAATCTGAAATCTACAACTAGCAACGGATTCAACTTTTGAATAATAAATTCATTAATAGATTCTTGGGGGGTACGCTTGACCTGGTTTGACTGTAAGTTTAAGGAAGCCAGACGATTGCTATGGTTACCAGATATACGGTTTTATATGAAGTGAGGTCAATTGATTGTCAGAGTGAGTGTGCGATTTGTTCGCACTTTTTCCTGCTAAAAATAGTTTCAGAATTCTTAGGTGTTCAGATATCACACTAAAATCGCCACTATGTTTTAAGATGTTTTAGTTTTCCAACAGCGTCCTATGCCATAATATGTACAACAACTTGTAGAACTCATATTGTGGTTATTTGCAGAAATATCTTAAACAATATGTAATATGTTAAAAAGTTACTCTATGTGAAAATACGGAGTATATTTTAGAGTTGGGTGGCTTTTAATGGAGGACGGCAAGGAATTGGTGGACTGGGTCTAGAATAAAGTTCTAAAGCCGTGTAAATGAACAGTTTTTATTTTAAGCTTGATTAAGCACTCCTGCTCTTTTTTGTAGTAACATAATTATCATAGCGTCTCTTTTGTTTTGTGTTATCTTTTAAAGAACTTATCTCGTTATCCACTATTCTTGGCGGCCTTGAGGGCAAGTACCTCGTTAAGCTGAGTTCATATTTAGACCCAGTCCTTCGGAGTTCAGGTCGCAGCAGGTTTGTGAGGTGTTGGCACGGTAAGACAGATGGTTGGGCGTCATCAACATTCCACAGTAACTGTGATGGAAAGGGTCCCACTGTAACCATCGTCCAAGTCGGTAGTTACATATTTGGTGGATACACTGACAAGTCTTGGGGTGGTATGTATCATTTCAGAACACAGCCTTAATAGCGCAAAGATGTTAGCGTTTTCATGTGGACTGGAAAAACGATTCAAATTCGCTGGGTGTGGACGCACATTTTTATTTTATTCTTCTTTTTTTTGGAAACACCGAGATAAATTTCTCTGCTTTCAAAAATATCCGGATACCGTGTGGACTGGGCCTAAAACCAAAAAAGAGACACAAAAACGCCTTTTATGTGTGAACGGAAGGCAGAAACGTAGAAAAAAATATTATATCCGGGTACGTGTGGATAAAGCCTCCTAAGTATTTTAAAGCATAAGTCACAGACACCGCTAGCATACAAGTAAGCCGCATGGGCTGTATTATTTCGAATTTTTTCTCCTGGGATTATTCTGTTTGTCTCTTAAAAGTTTTCTGACAAACGGTTTGAAAGTATTGAAATGCTTTCACACCAAGCAATTTGTGAAAAGTTGTAATGTCGATGTAACAGATTGTTATTAAATGGATTTAAATAAAATAACTAACTAGTTGAGTAAATGAATACCAAAGCGAACATGCCTGAAATTTCATTTTTTTTCTACAAGAGTTTACTAGTTGCTTTATAATGTACAGGACAGTACTTTTTGAAAACTTGACTTATTTTAGGTGAGGACTGGTGTATAACCTCGCTTTGTTAATCGTTATAGCATATTCTATCAAAAAGGTTCTAAAGCGAAAAACATTCAGCTTCGAACACATATTTATAGCTGCCATTGTCACTCTTGCTACTTATTAAAATGTTTTGAATAATTTAAATGAATGTTTAAAATATGTTTTTCCACAGGTTCTTGTCGTTCTGTCTATTCAAGTAAATCGTTCCTGTTCTCGCTATATAACATCAATGGCTACGCTCCTGTTAAGGTGAACATCAAGTCAAGTCGTTACAGTAAAGCTATTTACACATGTTCTAGATACGGACCAACCTTTGGTGAAGGACACGACCTGCACATATCGGGCAACGCTGCAAGCAATCGCTATCCCTACACCAACTGTGGCGGCTCCTACCCCCTCCCCCCTGGGTCCTCTGCGTCTCGTTCTTCCTGTAGATTTTATGCAGGTGGATCCAGTATGCACTTCACTCCCACTGATGTTGAAGTGTTTTACGAGACAACAACTTAAATCCTGTAAAGGTAGATCACGTCTGCCAATCCAAGCAGTATAAATACATATATGAACGCAGTTTCGTAGACTCCCAAAGGAAAGTGTTTTAAATGGAGGTTTTCGTTTCAATTAAGTAACAACAAATTCTTTTAATAAAAACTGTTAAAAAAATTATTTTAAAATCAATTCGGAGATCGATCAGGAGCCAGTAAAGATTCACAAGAAGCTGTTTCCTGCGCATGTTGGAGCTTTTATCATGCGCTTTTAGGCAAACCATTATATAGCAACGAATTACAGTATTCAAGCTTAAGAATGTTTAGCATATGGTTGCAATTTTAGTCCACTGGGTTAAGTTAAAGCTGTCCAGATCAAGGTACTGGCGTATTTAGAGAAATTGTTTGACTCTTACTATATTATGGGTAAGGTACCTTACTTGCCTTATATTTTTTTATACGCATAACGTGTACAAATAACTGGCTGTTGTTTGCTTCATGCACAGTAGATTCCCTGAACGTCAGCTTTTCAGTACCCAGCTTTTTTTAATGCATAACATTAAATGCTCTTAGATGCTACAATAATTTCTACCTTTATCCGAAGTCGTAATCTACCTTTCTATTAGAAATTGCCTTGGGAATGGTGCATATGCAGAGATCTAAAAATAAAATGAAAATGAAATGAATCAAATAAGTAAGGATGACATTGCACATCGGACCTTGACCAGGGTGCCTCAACCCAAAACATCTAAAATTCCAAATGTTTTGTAATCGCATGTTTTCACTGATCAGTTGTTTATTTTAAGATCGATTTTCTCTGGAATTCAGACTTTTGCGCCCACCCCAAAAACCTATGAAGGAATGGCGCTGACTACATATATTTGTGGTTTAGTACCAGTGAGTACGGGAATTGGAAGCTCGTTTTAAAAGTTAACTTCCAAAAAGCATTTTAAGCAGGTTACTAACATCAAAAGCATGAAAATAAAGTCACTTAATTTAATTCCCTCGGTTTTGGTTTCACGTATGCGCCTTACTTAATTGACACAAACCTTTTTTTAAGCACATAGATGGTACACGAGGAGACTACGTCGTCAGACGTTGCTAACCAGTTAGCTAAGAAAACTCGTGGAAAGTTTGTAGTTAATCTGGTTTAGCATTGATACCGAAAAAAGTGCTACACAATGCCTGTTTTTTTTTTTTTCGATTCTTCAGAAACAAATTTTGTAAGTCCAGAAAATTTTGCGTATAGATATATTATGTTTACGTGTTTGTGGCGCAGAGTAAAACAAAACCGAAGATGAACATGCAAAAATCTTGCTTTGGGAACAGGAAGTTTATTCAAGTATTATTTTTCCTTGACATACAATAAATCACTGGATATATCTAATCAGGGGTTCATGTTGATACACTCAACTAGGGTCTATATCAAAGATAAAAAAAAGAACAAATAAGTTACAAACAACTTAAACAAAAAACAATCAGAAACTACCTATGGAGTAGGCGGAAAAGAAAGTTAAAATTCAAATATAACTAGTTTGTGTACAGAAGTCCCCTTCCCCTCAGAAAAAAGGGGAAGGGGTCGTCTGTACGTAGGCTAAATGTAACTAGAAAAGTTTAATCTTGCTTGCTTGCTTGCTTGCTTTAATACTCAAGTGCGCTGAAATTCTAAAGCCTTGTAGTCTAATAATATCAAAACTTAAGCGCTATAGTCAGTACATGCTTGCGTGGTGTATTACAATTCGTTCTCTGTAGTCTTGTGACTCCCGTACAATGTATGTTGCTCAATTCTGAAATAGGCCCACCCCACTAAAGTAAATTTTAAAACTGCTGACTTTTAGCCCAGACCTCTCCGGCGTTATTAGTGTCTAGATTTATATTAATGAGATTAATATTCACTAAAAAATTAAAAAAAAATCGACCACATAATGATCTTTTTTTTCTGATGAGTGCATTATGGTTACTCCAGAGTAAACTGCCTTATTGTGCTTAAGTGGCTGAAATTAAAACGAACATAGTGAGAAGATGGGGGGTCTGTTTGCAGCTTTAGACCGCTGTATCGATCAAGCAGATAGGATCAAAATTGCGCAGACGAATTATTAGTACTGCCTGTAGTCGCTTTGCCTGATTTTTAAAGCAGCGACCCGGACTGACAGATGAGGGAGGGGGAAATTGTTTGATCACAGAGAGAGAGAGTGGCTTTTCCCATCCTTCTCCATCAAGTATTCTAAGTTAATTCCTGTGCTCTTGTACCCCGAGTAAACGCCTGCAGCACATACAGGACAGGTTGTCTATCACAGTGAAGGCTTTCAACATGACAAATATAATAATCATCTTTCTCCTGGCAAACACCTCGCTATTACGAACGCCACGCTGAAAAGAAAATCAACTGAATCCGCGACAAGTGTTTCACTCGTTTTTGACTGTATAAAGCTCTCGCACTGTGGTCATTGCAAACATATATACTTTTATCTTTTTAAACTTTATTTATATAATCCATTGACGCCCGGCACTTTTTACGTATTCGGACGAGTGATTTTCTTCATACCAAAAAGCCATAGGATTTTCGCAAGGATGTTTGTGACTCCATATTTGGACTTTATGATACCATGGAAAGTAGTGCTGTTCTAACCCACTGAAGGCTCGAGTTAAAACTTAAGTCAAAGCACTGTGCCGCAATGGAAAGCTTTCCGATTAGCCGGCGATACAAAGTGAACCAAAGTCTGGTTACGGATTCGACCTGTCATCGGACAACTGACGCTGCAAGCAAAAGCGATTCAAACACCTGAGGAGTTGTGCCAGGCAGCTCCTAACCCCTCACCCCTGGGTACTCTGTATCTTTCTTTCCTATAGCATGTTTAGGTTTTTATGGGAATATCCGAATCAACATCACTCGCACTGATGACCAAGTGTTTTAGATGACAAGAAATTAATACCTGTACATAACATCTGCCTGTTCAAGCACTTTCAAAGGACAAGCCCCTATCACGTTTTTGTTGTTGACTTTTCATAGATTTTGCCTTTTTGAATCCCGTCCCATTTATAGCTACCCCTAAGTCCCCAAGGGCATTAGTACTTCATGCGGGTATTTTGGCATAACTTCTTCTAGTCATTTAGTAATCATTTCTTTGCTCTACAGCTGATCAACAATTAACAATAGTAATAATAATAATAATAACAATACTACTAATACTACTACTAATAATAAAAGTAAATTATAATTATCATAAAAATTATCCCAGAATCCTTTGAGGCAATTTTTTTGAAAGCTTTATAACTTTGACAACTTTATACGTAGAAGAAGGTCAGACCACAACAAGATAGCATTTGCCATAAAATATCTTCTCATGTCACATCTAGGGTGATCACGTCATCAGTCACCTGACCATTGCTGAATTAGGTTTTTTTTCTGTGACAAGATTTTATCATTGGGTTAAAATATAATAGCATATTTGAGGTTTTGGTTGTGTGGAGCATTTAAAAATAACCAGTTTACGTCCGGAATTTAAAATTAAAGGGGGCAATAGACATGAGCGAAAAAGTCCGGAAACTAGGCCGAGGGCTGTAGAGAGCTGACGTTTCAACAACGGCAGAGAAAATTTGCAGGAAAGTAATGTTCTACCTGGTAATTTTGTCCGTTACCAAAAGAGGGACATTACGTCATAAGTCATGTGATCAGAGCGTTTTGAATATTTTAGTTCGTTTTTGAAGTACATTTTCCGCCATAAATCTGCAAGTTTTTGTTGTTTTTCTCTACAAATCTTTACACTGTATTACCCCTGAGTAATTATTATTCTATTTTCAAAGCAGAAGCAAACGAAAACTGAGCCAGAAGTTTAAAAGTTGCGTAAATCGACCGATATTGCAAACTAAAATCGAAAAGGAGACCTACTTATGAGACTTTTGTAAAATCCTTTTTCAACTCAACTGTTTGTTTGCCGAATTAAATCTTCAACGTTTGTTAATGAAGGAGAACTTTGAAAGGTAAGAGGTTGTATTTGGCAGCCATATTGTTGTTCTTCATTCTGGAGAGAGAGATCATGTAGCAGTTCTTCTAACGCTAAAAGCCAAATGGTCTGCTTCCCTAACCTAAAACAATGGAAATAATTATAAACAATGTTGTGTTAACGTTTTCCTCGACCGATGAAAAGACACCTTACTAGCAGGGAGAGAATCGTACGGTCATACTGTTCAGTCGGTAGCCGAGAGATCGATAGTTCATAAATTTCTTAAACGTTCCCCGGCATGGAGCAAGCCTGAAAGAGTATTAATGGCTTTATTGTGAGCTTTACGTCTGGCTTTGATCACTTCGGAGGGTCCGGATTCGAATCCTCTTGAAGCAAACGTTTCGTGACCTTATTTCTTCTTTTGCTTTTTTACTCTCTTTTTTACCAGTGAGGTGCATATAGCTAGTAACATAATGTAGTAAATTGAAAGCAAAATCTACAGGAATATAAAAAATGCCATATGTATCGTAGCGTATCTACCGGTATTTATCGTAATACTGGACATTGTTGCCATTACCCTGTTCAAACATCGAATTTCACATGTGTCTAATTTAATTCGAGAGGTAACTGCTTTGAGATTCGACGTCTGAATCAACAGTTTCAAAATCAAATACGACTTAGCCGAATCTGCGACTGAATTACAGTCGAAAATTCGACTTAGGTTCAACATTTGATTTAGAAGTCGCATTTCACATGTGCCGAATATAATGCGGGTTGGTGTATTCTTTTGGTTCCATTCTTACTACAATTCTCAGCTTACATTTGTGCTTGGAATCATTTTTCAGTTTTTTTCTACAGTTTTACATTGGTATTTTTGTATTATGTTATTTTTCCCATTCTGTTTTAATACAATTGATGTATAAACAATGCATAAAGTAGTACAAAACATTAAAGAGAGACATGGAAGATGTACTGTTTCACTTCAGTCAGCTATCAAGTCAATAAAAAAAAATAATAATTAATGAAGGAAATGTTTAATAATGAAAATTTTCGAAATCACGCATTTCACTTTCGTTTATTT